GTTACTAAACCCAGGACCCTGCATTCACTATTATCTGGTCTCCTACAGTAGAAAAAAATGGAAATGCAATTATTTTAGTAAATATAAACTGCTAAAAACCTTTTCTCATCAGCAGTGAATAGTAGTTTTGTGACTTCTATCAGGTCCATCGAGCACTGGTTAAAGCTTCTAGAAGTTTTCATTCTCCTCTGACTGTCCTATGAGGCTGCATGATCCCCGAAACTGTCTGGGCAGTGACGATCACATGTGCCCCCCCCAAAAAAAGAAAAACCCTCTAGCAATACACACCAAACTAAGCATGTGCAGAGTGCCTCCTAGGGCTCTGTACTATCAGCAGATAGATTGGGGAATGTGGAGGATAGAGAGGATCAGAGGAGACAGGATCAAACAGCCTTTTTTCCTACACAATGCAGAGAATTAAACCCTTAGGTTCCACAGTGTGTATAACAAGCATGTTTTACTGCATATACAGACTGATTTTACGGTTGTGGGTTTAGTTTAAAAAATAAAGCGTGGGAGGTCCTCTCGTTCAACCCCTCCTGTTGGCCTGTATGCTTGGATAAGGGTCTAGTAGGGATTTTGGAGGAGACCCCACTGTTTTGTTTACATTCAGCTGTTAGTGGGTAATCCTGCTGACAACGAGTCATTGGTTGCCAAGGACACGGTGGCCACTTGCTTCTTAAACCACTATTTGCTGCTATACACCGGCACAAAAACGCTAAATATGAAAATTTTTTAGTCTTTTTTTTTTTAAGCGCCTAGTGTGCATGGAGAGTCAAAGTCGCTTCTCTTCGCTACTGACCTGCTGCAGCTCTCAGATGTCAAAACAGTACCGCATTATACATGGAGATGTCGCCGTTGCTCCCCTCTACTCTCCAAGGAATGGGAAATAAGGTACGTATTGTGGTTGTTCCTATTCTAGACATAATGACTATTTAAAATACTCCTGCTTGTAGTTCAGCTTTAACGAAAGTCACAGTACAACTGATAAGACACCATCTTAATCTCCAGAGGAAACATTTTCTGTGGAGTTGAGACTACAAATGCATAAAATGCCCATCATCCTGACACTGCATCAAGCTAAAAAGGGCCACCAACTAGACTCCAAGGCTGTATTTACACCTTTGTGTCTTTTCCTTGATCATTGAAATCAAAAGCAAATGCATCTAAACAAAATGTGAAGGTACATGGACACACAAATGCACACTGACATGTGGTAATGGGCAATTTAATGTGCATTGTAACAAGTGTAAAAGCTCAGCAATTTGAGACAACACTCAACATGCAGTGAGAAGTGTTTTGATTTCTCATGAATATCAATGGAACAAACATCAGGCAAAAATCTGAATCAAGCAAAAAAGAGCACTTGGTGTCAGGGCCCAATCAAGCTAGGCATAAAGTATAACCTGCCTACCTTTAATGTGCAAAAAAAAAAAAAAAAAAATCATTTTATCATTTTTTTTTTTTTTTAGATGAATTTCGCATTTAAAGTAGAACTATAGGCATTGAGATGTGCAGGAAAATGGATGTAAAACGGAGGTCTATGCAAGTGAAATCTGCGCATCGGTTTTCTTGCGAGTATGTGAACGAGATCTAAAAAAACAAAAAAAAAAAAAAAAAAAACAAAAAAAAAACACTTTCATGCAGTATATACTGTAATCTTTCGGCTGAGCATAGTGTTAACACAGCTTTTTTGTTTTCTTTAAGCCCGTGCAACTATTACTACCCGTTGTCAGTACAGCCTTTATTTTCCAGGCCAAACTGTTCAGCAAAAGTGGCAATTACTTAGGGTATTTACAAAGATTAGATTTTATCCATATGAATTAACCTTTTTTTTTTTTTTTTAAACTGTAGCTGCAACTGCTTAAAAGTCATTAACCTGCTGTTGGGTTTAAACTTCTTCCAAATTCAAAATTTAATGTCTAATCAAAGATAACCCTGCTGAAAGTCTGAAGATTTTGCTGTGAGATTTCAATGCAAAACAAACATTATCACCTTGTAAGAAGACAGTATAAACAGGATCAGAAGCGGATGCATTTGCAGGAGCCACAAACCAAACTATGGTTTTGCCCTGATAAAATACCAGGAGGATTTTTTTTCCTGCAAACAAATCCTGATCCCCACTTCATACACAACATATCTATACAGGGTACAAACAAGTCACAGTTTTTCTGAAGGCTGGAGCCAACTTTACACCTTTGTGCTGGTAAAGAAGTGAGCTGTGGCCAGAGAAGTGAACTGAAGTTGTCAGGTGCTAACTTTTTATGGGAACAACAATTTCTGCTATCCCCGAAAAATAGAAAAAGCAGTTAATCATAAAAACATTTTTCTTGCGATAGGGATCATCTCCATCTTGTAACAGGGAAATTGGTTGGTAAAGGCAAATCTAAAAGCTGAATGTGCCATTCTTGACTAGAAAACTTGAGAAACTAATATTTGTTTTGTCTCCTAGAAAGCACATGAAATGTCAAATGGTCATGAGTTTAAGACTCTAGTTTGTTAACTTGCGCAATAAAAGCTGACAATTACAGCTCAGTCTGTGTTCACTTGTTTTTTCTGGGTGTGTTCTGGAGCAATTCTCTCACATGGGTTCAGAGCTGCCTGTTAAAGTGTTACTAAACCCAGGAATCTGCATTCACTAAATCTGGTATCCCACAGTACAAAGAACATGGATGTGCAATTATTTTAGTAAATACAGGTGAAATTCGAAAAATTAGAATATCATGCAAAAGTTCATTTATTTCAGTAATGCAACTGAAAAGGTGAAACGAATATATGAGATAGACTCATTACATGCAAAGCAAGATAGTTCAAGCCATGATTTGTCATAATTGTGATGATTATGGCTTACAGCTCATGAAAACCCCAAATCCACAATCTCAGAAATTTAGAATATTGTGAAAAGGTGAAATATTCTAGGCTCAAAGTGTCCCACTCTAATCAACTAATTAAGCCATAACACCTGCAAAGGGTTCCTGAGCCTTTAAATGGTCTCTCAGTCTGGTTCAGTAGGAATCACAATCATGGGAAAGACTGCTGACCTGACAGTTGTGCAGAAAACCGTCATTGACACCCTCCATAAGGAGGGAAAGCCTCAAAAGGTAATTGCAAAAAAAGTTGGATGTTCCCGAAGTGCTGTATCAAAGCACATTAATAGAAATTATGTGGAAGGGAAAAGTGTGGAAGAAAAAGGTGCACAAGCAGCAGGGATGACCGCAGCCTGGAAAGGGTTGTCATGAAAGTCCCCAACACTTTTGAATGGTCTTTTCCTAAGGAGTGGACGGAGGCTGGTGTCAGTGCATCAAGAGCTACCACACACAGACGGATCCTGGACATGGGCTTCAAATGTCGTATTCCTCTTGTCAAGCTGTTCCTGAACAACAAACAACGTCAGAAACATCTTACTTGGACTAAAGAAAAACAGACCTGGTCTGTTACGCAGTGGTCCAAAGTCCTCTTTTCTGATGAGAGCAACTTTTGCATCTCATTTGGAAACCAAGGACCCAGAGTATGGAGGAAGAATGGAGATGCACACACTGCAAGATGCTTGAAGTCCAGTGTGAAGTTTCCACAGTCTGTGTTGATTTGGGGAGCAATGTCATCTGCTGGTGTTGGTCCACTGTGCTTCATTAAGTCCAGGGTCAACACAGCCGTCTACCAGGATTTTGGAGCACTTCATGCTTCCTTCCGCAGACGAACTTTATGGGGATGCGGACTTAATTTTCCAGCAGGACTTGGCACCTGCCCACACTGCCAAAAGCACCAAAACCTGGTTCAATGACCGTGGGATTACTGTGCTTGATTGGCCAGCAAACTTGCCTGACCTGAACCCCATAGAGAGTCTATGGGGCATTGCCAAGAGAAAGATGAGAGACAGGAGACAGAACAATGCAGAAGAGCTGAATGCCGCTATTGAAGCATTCTGGTCTTCCATAACACCTCAGCAGTGCCACAGGCAGATAGCTTCCACATTGAGGCAGTAACTGCTGCAAAAGGGGCCCAAAGCAAGTACTGAGTACATATGCATGCTTATACTTTTCAGAGGTCCGATATTGTTCTATGTACAATCCTTGTTTTATTAATTGCATGTTTTATTCTAATTGTCTGAGATTGTGGATTTGGGATTTTCATGAGCTGTAAGCCATAACCACCACAATTCTGACAAATCATGGCTTGAACTATCTTGCTTTGCATGTAATGAGTCTATCTCATATGTTAGTTTCACCTTTTAAGTTGCATTACTGAAATAAATTAACTTTTGCACGATATTCTAATTTTTCGAGTTTCACCTGTATAAAATACCTTTTTTCATCATCCGTTAGAGCAGTCCTGTGACTATCAGTGTCCAGGTGAGCACATGTTAAAGTGTGTAGAAAGTTTTCATTTTGCTGTAAGAGGATGCAGAACCCCTGACCTCTGCATGGGATCAGCATAGGGCCAATCAGCACTTTCCAGACTCTCCCAGAAAAAGAAAAAAAAAAAAAGAAAAATAAACAAAAACCCTCTAGCAACACACACCAAACTGAGCAAGTGCAGCAGAGTGTCTCCACACAATATGTGTTACCAGGAGATAAGACTGGGACACTGGAAAAAGGGGAGGATAAGAGAAGTCAGGATCAAACCACGTTTTTACACAATGCAGAGGATTAAGGACCCTTAGGTTCCACAGTGATTATAACAAGCATGCTTTACTGCATATACAGACTGATTTTACTGTTGTGGGTTTAGTAACACTTTAATGTGATATAGTGGCTGGGGGTGAAAGAGAGGGCAGACAGGGTGAGAAGATTCCAACATACTCTAAAGAGACAATTTCTAATTTTATTTCCTGCATCTCTGCAAGTCAATTAAATAATTGCTCGTAGGGGCAAAAGAATGTACAAACTACTCTTATCAATAAAAATGTTTGGTTTGGCGACAGGGTCTCCAGAATTACAAAAAGGTAAAATGCTTATACTCTAACTTCTACTTCTGTTAATATAAAAACAGAACGTGCTTACCTTAAGTCCTGCGTAAAGATCTCTATGGAGACGTTCTGTGATTAGCAGAACTGCAATGCTGGAGCCTCCTCCATAATTATAGTCAATTACAGAGCCATGCAAATCGACCAAACGCTCGTGTTTAGGCAGGGACCTATAAGAGCATATTTGCACCAGTTATACATAAGTAAAGGCAGCAATCAAGCCATGATTACCAAAATCCAGAAAAATTATTTTTTTTTTACCTCCTGAAATAGAGCTTGAAATCCATTATAGCTTTGCCTAGAATTCTAATTAATAAAAGCTACTCCAAAATCTACTTAGTAGAACACTCCATAAAGAGAAGCAAACTCAAAAGGGATATTTCAGTTACATGAGATATCTGGAATGTCAAGCAGTACCACTATAGTTTATTACGTTTCCCATCCTGCTTGTACTTCTGCCACGTTAGGGTTGTACCTTAATGTGTTACATTCTACCAAATATGAAATACAGGATAGGACTCCATTAGTACCATAACATATTTGGATTAAAAAAAAAAAAAAAAAAAAAACAAAAAAAAAAAAAAAAACACATCTCCCCCTCTCACACCTACATACAGTAGGCATTCATGTTTATTTCTTTTGTTTGTATTGGTATGACACAAAGTGGAGAAACAAAAAGCCATATCAAATACATTCCACGCAAAACTGCAAGAATGGACTGGACAAAATTATTGGCACCCCCAATTTAATATTTGGTAGCATACCCCTTGGAAAAAATAACTGAAATCAAATTGCTTCCTATAACCATCAATGAGTTGTTTTTTTTTTTAAATTCTTTATTTTTTTAGTAAAAGAATCTGGCAATGCGATACACAGCATAAGAGAATAAACATTAAAAAGTCCCATATGAAAAACGGATCACTGGGTACTCTAGATCATGGCATCATTGTTCAACATATACAAATAAAAGGGTGGATGGGTAACCCATGGCGATATTGTGCATGATACCTAGGAGCCGTGAACCACCAATAACAAACGTTGAATTCCAAGCCATGTTTTATATTTTTACATGTAGAAAAAAAAAACACAAACACACACTCTTAGATGAGTAGATTGAAAAAATAGAATACAGAGAATGCACAGTGGGGTCAGTTAGAAATAAGAATGAAAGGAAGGAAAATGCAGGAAGGAGAAAGGGGAAGAAAGAAAAAAAAAAACAAAAAAAAAAAAACAGGGGTCCAAATCTTCTAATATTTGTCCTCTCTTTTCTTAAATATCATAAGATTTTCCATTTCTTGAATCTCTTCAATCCTCGCCTTCCAATAAGCTGTGGTGGTGGTGGGGCTCATACTTTTTTATAATGTTGGAATACAAGCCCTCGCAGCCATGAAGAGGTGTTTAAGTAAGGAGCGTTTGATTTTCTTATTGGATAGAGGGGTGGTATTAAGGAAGTAAGCAACTGGGTGTTTGTGGAGAGTCACTCCTTTTCGGGTCTGAATTGTGGTTTCTACCTCAAGTCCCCACAGAGCCAACAGGTATTATGGACCTGAGGAAACATACGGTTCACTTTAGCTGGAGTTCTGTATAACTGTGTGAGGACCTTACAGCTTCCCTCTTGGCATCTACTGTCAAAGGAAGCTTTAAAGGGAGAAGCGAAGGATAGTCTCCTTCTGGGCCTGCATAAAGGAGGTATTGAGATCCCGTTCCCATTGATGTACGAAAGGAAGGTCGGACGCATTGCTCGAGTCAATTAAGAGAGTATAAAAAAAAAATATAAGTGTGATGGCGGTTGTCTATCCAGGCAGATCTGCTGAAAGTGGGTGGGTTGGCGTAATGTATGGTGATTGGCCGTGTAGTCAGTTGAGCACGGTGGAGGAAATCAAGTGAAGAGCGAAACTGATGTAACATCATGGATCGTCAGGAGTCTGTGATTAGAGGAGAAATGAAGGAGTCTATAATAATTACGTTTCAAAAGAACATCAAACTGAGTCTCCCATGCCCGGTGAAATGTCGGAGTGCCAAATACAGAAATTAGAGGGTTTGGGTAAAGTAAGGCGAGGGAGTGGAAGCTCAAAAAAAGATATAGCAACTCTTAGTGTCGCACCTATCATAGGGTGCTAAATAACCTCTGCAGGGCAGGAGTGAGAAGGAACCCAGGTGAGTCCCGCCAGCAGAAGGCTCACCGTACTCTGTTCCAGGTCAACCTTGTATGAGGTTATGTAACACACCATTCCATAAGTCTAGTCAGATGTGAAGCTTCATAGTATTTTACAAAGTCAGGGAAAGCAATCCCCCCTTATACTTGGGCAGTGACAATATGGATCCGCAAACTCTCAACGGTTTGTCAGCTCAAATAAAGCAAAGGAAGCATGCCCTCAAGGCCCAAATAAAGCGAAGGAAGCGTGCCCTTAAGTCTTTCAGGAAACTCTGCGGGAGTTTTACCGGCAGCGTTTGGAATAAAGAAGACGCGGCATCATGTGCATTTTAAAGACAATAGTTAGGCTGAACCAGGTAAGCGTCTACCTGTCCCAATGTTGGAGATCAGATTTGAGTTGGTTGAACATAGGAGAAAAATTAATTTCAAAAATCCTGTGAATAAAACGGAATATTCATCCCCAAGTACTGTATATGAGAAGTTGTCCATTTGAAGTTGAAGTGAGAGCTTAGTTGAAGTTGCATTGCAGGGGGTATTTCAATGCCTATCGCCTTGGACTTCTTGCAATTTATTTTAAAATTAGAGAGTTGGCCATATCTGTGTAATTCTATTAAAAGGAATGGGAGCGTAATAGTCAGGGAAGATATAGGAGAAAAAAAAAAAAAAAAAAGATTAAATCATCAGCAGAAACGGCAAGCTTATGCTCCTGAGATTTGATGGCAATACCCCTTAATGTCAGGGTGGACCCGAATAGTTCTCTAGAAACAGCAGAAATATGAGCAGTGAAAGGGCACAGCCCTGGCGAGTGCCCTTATGGATTGAGAAGGTGTCCGAGAAAAAGTCATTAACCCAAACTATAGCTGAAGGAGTGGACTACAGCGATGTAATCCATCACTGCAGTCCCGCTCCAAGGCCTATAAATTCTAAAAATGGTTTTCAGGAAAATCCAATCAACCCTATCAAATGCATTTTCCGCATCAAATGCCTTTTCTTTGTATAAAAGCGCCAAAGGCAAAATGATGAGTCTGGGAATAATAAATTGCAATCAGCACGTGTTGTGCATTTTCCCTGCCTTGAGTGAAACCAGACTGATCAGAGTGGACCGGGGAGGAGATATGAGGGATCAGCAGTCTGGAGGCCAAAATTTTTGAGAAGATTTTTAGATCAACGTTTAAAAGGAAAATTGTCCGCTAACTGGCTTAATGAGAAGGATCTTTCCTTCTTTCGGAATTACAGCCACATGGACGTGAAGTGTAACATCAGGGATATTTTGACAGTCTCTCAGTGAATTATAGGCGGCTACAAATAGTGGGGCCAAAGTAGCAGGGACAGTAATACAATAAAGGGGGAGAGGGGGGAGAGAGAGAGAGAGCGCGAGCGAGAGCGAGCGCGAGAGAGAGAGAGAGAGAGAGAGAGAGAGAGAGAGAGAGAGAGAGGAGAGAGAGAGAGGGGGAGAGAGAGACCTACCCATGACCTCTGATGGAGACCCAACTTTCTGACACTGGACCCTACATTGCACCCCAGAATTCTTTGGTAGTCTTCAGATTTCCTAATGCCATGCACATGGTCAAGATATCCAGTGCCTGAAGCAGCAAAGCAACCCCAAAACATCAGTGAACCTCCACCATGTTTGACTGTAGGAACCATATTCTTTTCTTTAAAGGCCTCATTGTTTTTCCTGATGTACTTTTGTTTCGTCTGTCCACAGCACGTTCTCCCAAAAGGTTTTTGGCTTCCTCAGGTAAGTTTTGGCAAACTCAAAACTGGCTTTTTTAGGTTTCTGTGTCAGCAGTGGGGTCCTCCTGGGTCTCCTACCATAGCGTCCCTTTTCATTCAGGTGGCAACGTATAGTGCGAGCTAACACAGTTGTAACCTGTGCCTGAAGGTCAGCTTAAAATTTGTCTGGAAGTTGAGACCGCTTTCTTCACACAGCAAAAAACAGTGCAACAAAAAACAAACTGAAGGCAGGCTGAAACGCAACCCTTCCCTTTCAATTGTACACACCTGGATAACACTAGGACCAAGCTGAACCTCTGCTTAACAGACATAGCTGAAAGACAGAGTTCTACGCTCAAAGCAATAAACCCAACAATATGTGGGCTAGACAATTATAATGCTGTGAATACCTTGTCTCCCCGAAATGTCAGGCAACACTAGCAATCCTGTCAAAATCTTGGTAACAGCTGTCCCAGTTATATGCATAAATTCCCCCATTTTCTACTGTGAAAGATGATGCCTTCCTACAATTTCAATTTCCTACTCTCCCAACCCAATGCAAATCTACACTGAACACGGAAATTACTGAACAGGAAGTTGCTGAAGCCATTAAATCTCTTAAAACCAACAAATGGGCAGTCCCTGAGGGTTACTCCTTGCCCTTTCATAAAGTTTTTGGACATATTAGTAGCAAAACCTGAGGCATTTAATTATCTAAGAAAGGGGGGCATGGCCTGGTGCATGGAGCTGTAGCAGCGTTACCGCTGAGCTCCCAACCCGGTCCTCCATTACGGGCATCCTCTGGTCCCTCACAGGCTGCCAAGTCCACCCCATATGGGGAAGAACCATCTTCGGACCGCCCCCCCCCCCCCGGTGGCAATATAAGCCGGTTTGTCACCCGAGCCAGGGCCAGGGCCTCGGGCGCCACGGCTGTCAAGATGGTGCCGGCACCTCTTCCCTCCTCATCCCCCGTGACTGCAGGGCACCTGACAGATGAAGGGCAGGTACACACAAAGCACACAGAGATCCCCGCAGCCCCTCCCCAGCATCTCTCTGCTCTGAGGATGGCTGAAATCTGCAGTCCCACATGAAATCCCTGCACTCCTACATAAATCCCTGCACTCCTACATAAAATCCCTTCCTACAAAGGCAGATTTTGAGCAATGTGTGAAACGTATTGAAAGCACATACAAGCAGGAAATTTCTGATCTTAAAAACGGGACATTTGTGAGCGCATGGAAGAGATGGAAAATACCGCTGACTGTCTGTGTAATGCTTTACAATCCCACGAGGAGACCC